GTCAGTTGCCTCTATGCTGGGACCCTGTTGTTCCCTGTTGAAATGTGCGATCCCCTTTTAAGCTGGATCCCATTTCTGATGTACCAGTTGTGGTCAATCTGCTCCCCGGACATGGCCGTGCTCCCCTCACTGCGGGAGGGTCTTTATGAGCTCGCCGGTCCTGGGAAGATTATGTGAGTCCTTCTCTCTACCTGAGAGCTAGGTACTTTGCCCCTGGGCTATTGATCGCTTCAGTTGAGCTGGGTTCCTCTCCCTTAGCTAAGGGTCGAGCCCTCTGCTCTTTGAGCTCTGTGACAGCAACATCAGGTAGTCTGGCCGCTTGCTGCCTCCCTGATTAGTTGCCCCTATTTGGTCAAGCCTAGCAGTGCTCCCCTCACTCCAGAGGGTTACCTTTGAGCATGCCGCTCCCAATTGAACGTCTGAGGCCTCCTCTCATCAGGTCCTACACTTTGCAGCTCCATTGAGCAGCAGCCTTAGGTTGTTAGGCCTCTCTCTGCCTCCCTGTTAGGCTGCTCTCTTTGTTGGTTGTGCTTAGCAGTGCTCCACCCTGAACTTTCTAAAATCCACATTGTGGTAAGCGTGCACGCTAGGCATTCTGCGCACTTTCTAAAATCCTGTATGGTAAGGCTTATGTGCTGTCAGCCTAGTTTCCTTTCTCAGAGTTGGTTAGGCCCCGGTTTTCACTTTAGCACTCTGCAGTTCGATAGACGGTCAGGCCTGCAGGACCTCCCTGTCACACTGCCCTTATGGTCGAACCGGTGAATCGCCCCTCTGCTGAGTGGGCTTGAGTACACTACGTTCCCTGAGGTATGAGTGAGATGTGTTTCTGCGGAAACCCTTCCTGAGTGCTTCGGCTCTGAGGAGCAGTAGCTCTTCATGCATGAATGGGTTAATGGGTTTCGCCGTTTCTCAGGTTCTCTTCGGGTATGGTTAAATGGGACCCATGCTCTCTATTGAGATAAAGAGCATAAGACTGTGTTCAGCTGCATCAGTTGATGGTCTCTCTTTGGGCCCTGCTAGACTGCCCTTCTAATCTAGCTCTGCCTTCTGGTTGAGCTGAGAAATGCTCCCCTCCTTGCGAGGGTTAGCTATGAGCCTATTGCTCCCAGTTTGTGCTTCGAGGGCCCTCCTCAGATTGAGAGCCGAGAGCGCTGCTCCTGAAAACTCCATATGCAACAATACTGAGTTGTTAGGCCCGACCTGTCGCCTCCTTGGTCAGTTGCCTCTATGCTGGGACCCTGTTGTTCCCTGTTGAAATGTGCGATCCCCTTTTAAGCTGGATCCCATTTCTGATGTACCAGTTGTGGTCAATCTGCTCCCCGGACATGGCCGTGCTCCCCTCACTGCGGGAGGGTCTTTATGAGCTCGCCGGTCCTGGGAAGATTATGTGAGTCCTTCTCTCTACCTGAGAGCTAGGTACTTTGCCCCTGGGCTATTGATCGCTTCAGTTGAGCTGGGTTCCTCTCCCTTAGCTAAGGGTCGAGCCCTCTGCTCTTTGAGCTCTGTGACAGCAACATCAGGTAGTCTGGCCGCTTGCTGCCTCCCTGATTAGTTGCCCCTATTTGGTCAAGCCTAGCAGTGCTCCCCTCACTCCAGAGGGTTACCTTTGAGCATGCCGCTCCCAATTGAACGTCTGAGGCCTCCTCTCATCAGGTCCTACACTTTGCAGCTCCATTGAGCAGCAGCCTTAGGTTGTTAGGCCTCTCTCTGCCTCCCTGTTAGGCTGCTCTCTTTGTTGGTTGTGCTTAGCAGTGCTCCACCCTGAACTTTCTAAAATCCACATTGTGGTAAGCGTGCACGCTAGGCATTCTGCGCACTTTCTAAAATCCTGTATGGTAAGGCTTATGTGCTGTCAGCCTAGTTTCCTTTCTCAGAGTTGGTTAGGCCCCGGTTTTCACTTTAGGCTCCACTCAACCTATATATCCCTGTTGATATACATCTCTGAGCAGGGGGTTGCTACCAAAGATCTGTCGAGTCAGTTCTTTGAGCAAGCTCATTCAAAGCGGCAGTAGCCCCCTGGGTGACAGGCCAGGGTCTGGTCTTTAGACACCTGGCCGTATCCTGATTTTACAAACTCAAAAAAACTCATTCTGTATGATTTATAAGCATCTGTACCCATGGGGACCTCGATTTAGGTCCCCACGATGACACAAGTCCCTATGAGTCTGTGTGTATTCAGGGCCACCACCAGTGTAGAAAAACTTGTACACACACACACACACACACACACACACACACACACTCTCTCTCTCTCTCACTCTCACTCTCACACACACACACACACACACACTCTCTCTCTCTCTCCCACACACCCACACAC